CATTATAAAACATATTTTAGTCCTGTATACTAAGTGAACTAACTAAAAACATCCACGGTATATAATATTAAAGATCATTATTACAAGAGGGGTTATTTGCTCAGAAAAAAAAAAAAAATGTACTTTCGAGCTAAAAAGAAGGAAAGTGCTTTAAAGGCTGTAAAATCTGCTGGTGCTACCTTGTAAATGTTCTTCAAGACAAGATTCATTTTGTCAGGATGAATGGCAGAAAGGACAAATATAAGTGTGACAACATCCACAGAATCTGCTGGTATATTGTCTAGAAGATCATCTTTGGTAAGATCGCACTGGAACACTTTACATCTTTCGGTACTATATAAGGCATTTTTCTAGGAAAATAAAAACAGTAAGCTTTCATTGAAAATTAGTAGCATTTGTTACTTGAAAAACAGTAAAAAACTTGTGAAACTAATCAATACAGCAACATGAAACACGGTGGCAAAAGAACAGTAACTTCCAATAGGCTACTAATGCGATCAGAAAATTTTTGCTGTGTACTACAATACTGAAACTACAACTAGTAGAATAGTCTGTTCTCATGAGTTTGAGAAGGAATGTGCATTAAGACAGTTCAGAAAGCTTAACCATTTCTGTTTTACCGCTGCTTCTACTCTTTAAAAAATACATAAATACTATTAAAAGAAATTCTATATCACAGGGTGATTGAAGTACAGCTCTTGAGCTACAAGTAGACTGCAAACAGTTGGGGTTCCTGTCACGTAACCTGCAGCTGGGCTGTTCTAGCCCACAGTTCTGCTGGGTAAAAGGAACCTGGCTTGGCCAGAAATAACATCAGCAAGAGCTGTGGAGGTAGATGTCACCAAGTCATCCAAACCCCTGGGGTACACACTCAGCCCAATGTCATCTTGGGGTGCAGCTATGGCATCCCAGGAAGCTGCTGTCCTCTCTTGTTTGCCACATGTACTTCTTCCTGTTGTTCCCATGAGACATGCTGCTTGTGGTTCTTGGTCACAAATATCCCACAAGACAATGCTTTCAATTAACAGACATATAGAAATTTACCTGTGACTACAAACTTAATAAACTAGGAGACTTTTAAAGCCCAAAGCTCCTGCCAGCCTTGCTGGAAGGCTCAGCTTTGGACTGCAGTACCATCTACCCATGAATAAGTATAAACACACCTACTCCTAACCAGGCTACAAATTTCTTTAACAATAACTTTCATAGTCCTGTTTTTAAGGTTCTCCTTGGGACTCCTTCCATCAAGGGCAAGTTTCCTTTGCAAACAAATTTTGCTTGTACTGCACAGTCAGCAGAGACATAGTAGTGCTCCCAAAAAACACAGCCTTCATAAATTATTCAAGTAATATACCATAATACTACAATGTGATGCTGAAAAGCGAGGTCTTGAGCAATGATTTGACTTCTTGGATAGGATCTCAACTGAAATGGATCAGTCTCCATTTTTTGGCAAAATATATTCTACCCTTCTTAAAAAAAGGAAGGCAAGAGACGCCTGTTACATTCATTTGCAATTTCAGAAGCTTCTAAAAACACCCTAAAAGAAGTTCCAGATATCACACCAACCTTCACATACTCAACAGCTCTAGGAGAGAAATCACAGGCATATGCAAAAATATTCAGATCTTCTTCTAAGAGTGGAAACAAGCAGTTCCCAACCCCACAGCCCGCTTCCAGAACGGTCAGTTTCTGATCTGCAAACTGGAGAAGAACCAATACAAGATAAAGGACATCATTTTTGTTTTCCCCATTACATGAGCACTACACTCTTCAATGACCACTTTAGAAGTTATAATCAATTTTAATTACCACTGATTCAAAACCCCCCCAAAGTAGACAGCCACTGGATAATCTGACACTAAAGCCCAGACAACTTGATTTCTGCAAAATTAGAAATGTTCTTAGAATATATTAATATTTCTTTAGTCATCTACCCCTTAAGTAATCAACAGACTGTTGTACCATTTCTGTCTTGTCTTTCATTGAGCTATGAGGAACAACAGATTCAGCTGACTATTCCCCTTAACTCCATTCTACAATTAGCCTGCAATTCTGGATGCTTTTCTTTAAAGGAGTGTACTGAAAGTGCACCAACTTGCATTGGAAAACATCCCATCACAGAGAGACAAGCTGTCTATTTGGGACACAATACAAATATTTCAGACTTCGTTCTTAGCATCCCATATGCTATGAAGAGTATCCCCATCCAGCATGGATCAATTATAAATTGAAAGTGAACTGATGCTTGTGATTTTCGGGAGTTGTCTTTGATACTAAGAGAAACTACACAGAGCATTGAAAACTTGGCAGCTCTTACCCAAACAGCTTTGCTATAAGTATTATTAACTCACTTGGAAACAACTGATTGGAAACATTTAATCCCATCTTTTGCAGTAGAAGTGTATAAATCTCACCTCACGACATGCTTTTAACTCTTGAAACTCTCTAGTTGTCCAATGTCTATCTTTGAAGAAGTTGGTACTGTTTCTTTTGTAAAACAGATCCCAGTTCTTCTGTGCCTCTTTCTCCAGTTTTAGTTGTTTGAACTCAGACACCAAAACCCGATCTTTTGCCAGTCTCTCAGCTTCCTCTGGGCTAAGGACTCTTGCACTGTGGCCTTTCTTTTGGAAAGCACCATCTTCAGTAGATGTTGTTACTACATTTAAGCAATTGTCTGATGCCTTTTCTTGGAACATCCTAGATTCTTTCACACAAATATGAATCCCAAAGATCCAAGGGTGATTTTTTTTCTTTAGTGTATGGTTCCATCACTTAAGTAAGATAAGTGAGTACCTAGAAGAAAAAATGATAACTAATTACAGAATGTACTTACAACAGTTTTACAGTGATCTGTCCTACCTGATGGACTGACATACCACCAGATTTCTCCTAATTTCAGAAAACCTTTATCCAAACTAACAAGCATATACATCATCACACTGATTAAAGATACTTCAGAGTCTGCTGGTCTTCCCCCTGCATCCCAGAAAGCTACTCAAGAAGAGAAAGATGGTACAGCTCTAAGCTTAGAAGGAAAGCAAGGGCTTTGTTTCTTGTTAGCCTCAGTTGGAAGACCTCAAAAAAATAATAACTGAAAAACAGATGACATTTAAAAGTCACATTAAAATTGATGAAACAGAGTATATTCGTGTTAGCATTTCTCCTTCCTGCTTCCACCTCTGTGAGAAAAAATGGTGAAAACACCAGCATTTATAACACCACATATCTGAACAAGAGAACAAAACCAGTACTGTGGCCAAAACATCCAGAGCTGGCCCATGTCAGCATTCTTTTTACTGCCTCCTCCTGAGAATTCGTGCTGGTTTTAACAATCACAGGTGGGTTTATTTTCAGAAGTTAACAAAAACAGAGCAACAAAAAGAGCATTGTAGGCTGGGAAGGGATCCAAATATTTTCTCTCTAATGTTAAACTAGTTCTCACCTCTTCCTTGCCACAAACATGCAGATCCTGGGTGCTGGCACATGTGAATTAAATCCTGCAAGGCCCGGTAACTCCCAGGGAAGCCCAGGTAGCAAAAATGTGCCACTTGTGCCTCAGTGCCCAGAACCAGGCACTGGTGTCATTTTACCAAAGTGGAAATGAGAAAAAACAAACTATAATCACCCTACAGCAAAAAAAAAAAAAATAGTACTTCGCTTATGTATTTTGTTTGCGATAAAAATACGTGATATGATAGAAATCAGGTATCGTGATATGTACATGTTATAGATGATGTTGTCACAATGTATACATGTTATGATACAAACATAAAATATGGAAGTGTGCAAATGAAATAAAAAACGGTCAGAATTTTGTCCAGCGTCTCAGGAGACAGATGCCCCCTTTTTCCTCCAAAAACAACAGGTTATAGAGAAGAACTCCCTTTGAAAGAAAGTCTCTTCAAGAAAAGCATATTCTTAAAACAAATAAACGAGCTTAATCAGCAAAATTTCTACTATATTTCTACTACATGCCTATATTCATGCTCCAAGGAGATTAAGCTGCATATTTCTTCATAAAACGAGCTGGGAGGCGAAAAAAAATCCCAGTCAGCCTTTCCACTGCGCTCAAAAAACGCCGTGGGAGGGCAGCGCGATGATCAACTCAGCTGCAACAGCCTACGCCTGGGCTAAAGAGCCTTTTAGAGGGGTTTAATCCATTCCTAAGACCGCAAACTTGTAACAACCTCCGTGTAATCCCCCGGTCCCGCCACAGGGACACCGCTCCCCGCCAGGAGCTTCTCACCCAGCGGGGCCGGGGGATTGATACCCCGGCAGGGGAGGAAAGGAAAGCCCCTCCCGGGGGCGGGGAGCACCGCGCTCCCACCTCCGCGGGACCCTCCGCGGGCAGAGCAGCCCCGGCCCGGCCCCGCGCCCCCGCCTCGCCTCACCCGCCGCCGGCCCCGGAGAGCTTTCCCGGAAGGGAAACTCAAGAATTTCCGGGAGCACGTCGGGCGGCAGCGCACGGAGAGGGCAGGGAAGGGAAGGGAAGGGACCGGCCGGGCCGGGAGCGGGGCCATGAACGGCTCGGCGAACTCGCTGCTGGACAAGGAGGAGCACCCGCTGCAGCTGGGCGAGAGCTTTGAGCGACGGCCCAAGGCCTCCTTCCACACCATCCGCTGTGAGCGCCACCCCCGCGGCCGCCCCTTCCTCCCGCTCTCTTCCCGCTCTCTGCGTCCCGTCCCCCGCCGCCGCTTCTTCTGCCGCGCCCACCCCACCGCCCCTCATGGCTTCCTTCGCGCCGCCATCCCGGGGCTTCGTTCCCCCTCAGCGCCCGTCTCCCCGCTTTCCCTCCTGCCCCCTCATCGCCCTTGTTCCCCCTTTCCCTCCTGCCCCCTCATCGCTCTTGTCCCCCCTTTCCCTCCTGCCCCTTTATCGCCCTTGTCCCCCCTTTCCCTCCTGCCCCTT